GGCTTAATCAATTAATGATTATAAAGCACTTTAAGAAGCTGGGAAACACGCTATGGAAGTGCAAAGATTTACATTATTTATTATTAATTATTATTATAATTCACAGTTGGCTTCTGCTGTATTCCCCTATGGGGCAACAGCCTGGCCTCCCAAGAAAGGTTAGATCTCTCTTTACATTTCATCTAGGCTCCAGTCAGGCTGGTTTCATTCTGACACTTCTCAGGGAGGCAATGAGCCTCAGGGCCAGATTTTTTAAAGATATTCAGGTGCTTAAAGATGAAGAGAAGTAGCTAGACCTAGATCCTCAAAGGCATTAGGCACCTACCTTCCACTGATTTCAATGGAAACTAGGTGCACAAATATCTTTCACGATATGGGCACTTGTTACTGTTGAAAATCTCACCAGATGTCTATCTGCAGCTGTAGGCATAGGCGCCGACTCCGTAGGTGCTCCGGGGCTGGAGCACCCACAGGGAAAAATTAGTGGGTGCTCTGCACCCACCGGCAGCCAAGCTCCCCTCCCCGCTCCACCTCACCTCCTCCTCTGCCTCTGCCTCCTCCCCTGAGTGCGCCGCATCTTGCTCTTCCGCCTAACTCCCAGCGCTTGCAGGAGCCAAACAGCTGTTTGGAGGTGTAGCAAGCTCCGGAAGGGATGGGGAAGAAGAGGGAACGTGGAGCGTTCAGGGGAGGAGGTGGGGAAGAGGTGGGGCCAGGGCAGGGATTTGGGGAAGGAGTCAGAATAGGGGTAGGGAGGGGGCGGAGTTGGGGCAGAGGGGGGTCAAGCACCCATTGGCGTGAGTAGAAGTCAGCGCCTATGGCCGTAGGTACCTAAATACCTTTAAAATCTGACTTCTAATACCATAAGTCATTAGTAGAATTGGAAATAGAACCCAGGAGTCCTGGTTCCTAGTCCTCTGTTCTGATGGCTATATAGCACTGTCCCATATGCCTTCCTAACAATATATCCCAATACATCTTTTTCTTAATAGGGAAAGTGCAGCATAAGGTTTCTGAGACACAGTCAAGCTTTACATTGTTATGTGCATCTATAGAACATGTATGTACTGATAACCTTGTACCATAGAGCAATGGAGGGTGGGCTCTATCCAGCAGTCGCTCAAATTAACAAAAACAAAAAGACTATTTTTAAAAACCCCACAAATACATGATGATGTAACAGAAGGAAATTCAATCTTGGGATCTGGTGCTATAGCACGCAGACTACATATATATATGGTTCACAATGTCATGGGAACTACACAATGGAATCATAACCTCACAGGACAAGACTGGTTATCTATTATCAGACGCCTGTTACAGATACACCCAGGGGATATCTATCTATCTGTGTATCGCAATTCACAATATAACTTGGCCCACGTACTACACTTCATAGATTCAAAGGTCAGAAGGACCATTGTGATCATCTGTTCTGACCTCCTGTATCACACAGGCCATAGAACTTCCCCGAAATAATTTCTGTTCGAAATACAGCATGACTGTTAGAAAAACATCCAATCTTGATTTAAAAATCGCCAGTGACAGAATCCACCATGACCTTTGGTAAATTGTTCCAATGATTAATTACCCTCACTGTTAAAAATTTACACCTTATTTCCAGGCGGAATTTGTTTAGCTTCAACGTCCAGCCACTGGATTTTGTTATACCTTTGTCAGCTAGATTAAAGAGCTCATTATCAAATATTTGTACCCCATGTAAAGTCACCCCTTAACCTTCTCTTTATTAAGCTGAGTAAGTTAAACTCCTTGAGTCTCTCTCTATAAGGTATGCTTTAATCAGTCTCAGGGCTCTTCTCTGAACACTTTCCAATTTCTCAACAGAGCAACCCTAAAGCTGATGGGCTCTGCAGTATAATAGCTAGCCCAGTAGACCTCTCCAGTAATGACCAAGGAGCTCAGGCAAAAATTGTGGGTTCATATCCCACCATGGCTGCTTTTTGCTATTGATTTTACATGGGAGGTGCTCCGATACGATGAGGATGAGCAGCAGCGTAAGACGGAATGATAAGGTGCAGGGAATTAGGCCAGGTAACACTGAGCCCAGTGTGGAAGGGAGGGTTTTAGTCTCTTTGAGGAGCTGCTTACCATCTGACTGATCTAGGAATCCAGTGTTACTTCTGTAGGGTAAGAAAGGGGGTCTAGTAGACAGGGCATTGAACTCAGGAGATCAGGGTTCAATCCCCACTTCAGCCAGAGACTATGTTTATGTGTGTGGCCTTGGGAAAGTCATTTTATCATCCCTGTGCCTCTGTTCTCGATCTGTAAATGGGGATAACAGCACTTCTCTAACTCCCAAGGATCGGAGGATAAAATCGGAGGCACTCAAATACGATGGAGATGAGGGCCATGTAAGGACCTAGACAGACAGGAAAGTGCTCCCTCTTCTTGACAACTGTGACAAAGATTCGGGAACACTTAAGCTAAAGTGATTATCACCAGAGATGAGGCCTGGAATGATGAGAACTAGACAAACAGAGTCAAGTTCTAGATACACGGGTGCAGTTCTGCTGAAATCAAGGAGGTCGTATTCATTTACCAGAGGAGAATTTGGTCCATGGTATCAAATTCTGAATCTGGACAGTTAGGCCTGCATGTTTTATTTACCCATTCCTGTACACACAACTGGATTTCATCTGCACACATCCAGTTGGTGGCTGCGTGCGCCTTGCTGTCCAATCTGCTTGTGCAAATGTGAGTTTAGTGCCTACAAAAAAAGGTGCAGTGAGTTGTATGTGAACCAGCAGATGTGAAAAATCAGAGGCCAGCTTGCAGCTAGCTGAAAATGTGGCCCATAGTTTTTGATAGTGCTTGTCACTGGGCAGACTGACCAAAACCAAGAGGTAGAGGGATTTTTTTTGATAGGGGAGGAGGAGCTGGGCACGCAGAAGAGAAAACTGGAGAGAAGAATAGTGGTGACACAATGACTGATTTAAAACAAATGATCCCTCGTTGGCCTCATCTAGTAATGGAAACATCCCTGTATGAATGACAATTTCACAATACTATTATACTTGTTCAGCATCTCTTGATGGCAAGACATAGGATATCATGATCCTTTGTTTGCCACATATTTCTCCCCAGAGGGATCCACTGCTGGGTAAAGAGAAACTACAGAGGAGACCAAAAAGGATGTCAAGGTAGCCTGGTGTCTGGTACCACTCAGCCCGGAAGTTTGTGATGGTGCCAGATCATCTCGGAACCATCCCCTTTGTTTTGAAGGACAGAAATGGAGATGGGATCTATCACGGCAGACAAAAGGCAGCATGCAGGTTTGGAAGCCTTTAATGACTTGCTCTAATGCTCTCTGCACCAGGCTGCCCAGTGGCTGTATAGAGCAGCACTGAATGATGGAGTTGTGCAATGCACCAGAGTGGCTCTGTTCCCTTTGGGAGAACCTGCTGCATCCTAATCTATTGCCTTTTGGGGTAAGTGCTGCCGTGGGACTGCAGCAGTGACAGCGGAGAGAGAGCTCCTGGGTCTGTTAGCTTTCAACTGCTCTCCAGCTATACAACAATAATACCTCCAACCTGTGAGCAGAGAAGCAGACTTGAACCCAGCAGTCTTGGCTGTACCTTCCTGCTTTTCTTTAACACACCCTTAGAATTGATCTCAATAAGCAAAACAATCCAGCAGCTTGCAGTGTTAATAAGATTACATCAGTGATTCAAATGAAAAATCCACCTATTTGACAGAGCAGATTATTAGGCTGATATTTAAGATTCCTGGAGAAAAAGAAGGAGCTTTCAGGTGTCTGACCCCTCACTGTTCTCCATAACACAGAGAAGAACCCAAACTTTGAAAGCTACAAATGGTAGAGATTAAAAAATGCTTCTTGGTTCTGAAGTGAAGGCGGCAAGGAGAGGAGAATTGAAGTGGGGTTTTCTCTGTGCACCAATGTTTTGGTGACATTCCAGATTTGAGTCAGGAAGCCCCATAAAGATCTGGAAACTGTGGATCCAGGTAAAGTACACATCGAGTTAGCAAGTGATGTCATATGGGGGAGGGGGGCATTCCTTGCCTGTGAGTTATTGGTTGCTAGGGGGAAAAGTTTTTTAATGGGATGGGGTGTTCCCCTGGCTCCCTGCCCCCCTACCAATAAATCGCTGTCTATATTCCTCTCTTTCCAGGCTAACCTCCTCTGAATTCTTGCAGCCGAGAACAGCAGCACTTGAGCACTCCATTAGGGGAATGATTCAGAAACTGTCAATGTTCTACAAAACCCAATGCTCTGAACTAAAAATAAACCAAAACACCAGGGGTGGGAGGGAAGGGAAAGAATTTCAGAACTCGGTCCAAATTCTCCCGCAAAGATTGCAGCAATGTTTACCACTGATGAAGTGAGCTGTAGCTCATGAAAGCTTATGCTCAAATAAATGTGTTAGTCTCTAAGGTGCCACAAGTCCTCCTTTTCTTTTTGCGGATACAGACTAACACGGCTGCTACTTTGAAACCTACCACTGAACAGTTTTTTTCTGTCCCCCCCTGCCCCCTCCCTTTCACACACCCCCACGGGAGACATTTGGGGGAGAAGAGGGTGTTCTGCTCTCCTCGCCAACACTTCAGTGCATCATGATGTCTGAATCACCAGGCTGAGCTTCCCTAGAAAGAAACACTTGCTTGTCTGGTGCTTCTCATGGCAGTGGCAGGCTAATCCCTGAATAACAGTACCATAGCGGGTTCGCCCTTCTGTGATGACCCCCTCAAACACCTGCTTTTTCTTTTGCTTTCTTTATTACTGCAGCAGATTGTGCAAATGCTACAAACCATGACACACTTACACATCCCTCCCCTCAACATTTGCAGGTGCACGCATTCCTGTGATACAAACAGCACACGTGCAGCCCCCAAATGCAAGCAGCAGGGCCCCATATGGAAAACCAACAGCATCTTTTGATCATGACCGGCTCCTACTCCATCCCTAACCCTAGTACAAGAGCAACCGGAAAGTTGCCTGATTGTAAGGGGGTTAGAATACTTACAATAGGTCTTCCTGGTCAGCTCTTCCACAACTTCAGGCTTCAACTTGCTGTTGGATTTCCCCATTATTGCCCAGAAGCTCTTCCTCCAGATCACTCAGTACATCAATCTCTATATTGCCTTGTAACTCCCCTTCTTTCACTGAGGGGTCATCAGAAAGCTTGCCTTCACTGTAAAAAAAAATTCAAAACCACCTCGGGTTCTTCTTCCAATCTCCTCTCCTTCCTAGAACAATGTTTCTCTAACAAGCACCAGCAGCAATGGGATCAGAGGTAGAGGGGAGAATTGTTTTCGTTTTAGTGGTGCTCCAACCTTACCGGCAGATAGGATTTCAGTCCTGGAGGATTTTACCCCACTCTTCAATTGAAGAATGACGATCGTAAACAGAATTGCTACATTCCACTTGGGGAGAGGGCTTTGGGGTTTGTTTGTTTTTCTGCAGCGACCAGAGCTGTGGTTACATTTCAGTCATGGTTTCTCTTAATGAAAAATTAAACACTGCAGGTTGATTTGTTTTTCCTCCTCTCCCTTTGCTTGCACCGCCTGGAAAGGAAGGTTATTGTGCAGGATCTGTGTGTGTGTGTCTCTCTCTGTCCTCCCGGTAGCTCTGTGGAGTGTTGCTGTTGTCGTCCCTGGTTACAGAACACCCTCCCCTCTTTCTTTAGCTGTGTAGCTTCGGCAGGCAGGCGAGGATTTGCCTCTGCCTGCTGCTCTGGTGATAAGGTGTTAACTGGAATCTGCCAGTCAGACAGCAGCAGGACAATTGTCTTACGTCTCCCTTTCTTGTCTCCTCACTTTCCTTTTAGATCAGTCCTCTAAAAAAACCCACAACCCAATAACATTTTCATTCAAAACAACTCAATGGCTTCTTTCTCTGCAGATGCATTGATTTCCTTCCTCTGGGGCCTGAAGAGAAAACGCTTGTTGTCTCTAACTTGGAGCTGAGTGTCGAATGGAGATTGGAGATTCCCCCACTCCCCTCTCTCCAAAGTCATGCATTTATCTGAGATTCACAGAAGTTAGGGATGGCAGAGACCTATTGGGTCCGTGGATCCGCCCTCTGCCAATGAGGAATCTGCCTTTGTTTTATCGGGAAGTGGCAATGATACATTCGGAGATAGGTGCAATGTAAATAAATGGGATTATTATTGTCACTATACTGGTTTCTGCCTTAATGCAAAGTCTCCTGAATGAGATTTATTGCCTATAGCACCATAGCGTTTTTTTGTTTTGAAGACACATATTCCTTCTCCCTGATTCCCTTGCCTGCGTTCTTGAGACTCTGTTTCTCTTGATGTTTTCCTGGCACATAATAATTTACAAAGAAGTGACTTTTTGTGAATTTTGTAGATAACGTTAAGGCGTTTGCTTGCTTTCTCTCCCTTGGGGTAATTTTATAGTGAGTGTGCAGCCGGGGTAGCAGAAACCTGCAAGAAACAAAATAGATTTTCATCACTGACAGGTGGGTCTTTGTAAATCAATAGTTTCCTTATCTCAGAGATAGAGCGTGCCCAGATGGGTGGAAACACCCAGCCTACCAAGCTGACTGTTGTGCAGGTGATTAACATCCCATCTGACAACATGTCTCTACTCAGTTTTCTACTTATGCTATTTATCTCCAAAAAGATCAAATAATGTACTGCAATCTATGAGTCTTGCTACAGTCATTTTTATCAGTGAAAGGGACTTTTTCCCCTCTGGAGCCAGTCAGAAACCTAGGTGCTGGCCCCTTCCCTCAAAGAGCCATGTGCGTTCTTTGATGTTAAAATTAGGACTTATTAAGACAACATACTGAGCCATCACACATCAACCAGCTTATCACAGAGGTGGGAACATCACCACCCCTTATGCATCAAACACATCAAGAGTGACCTCTATGCACCAGACACCACACTAATATTATAACCCATAGCAGGCGAAGATTCTGACCACCCAGCCAGTAACCTCAGCAGCAAAGCCACCTCCCTGCAGGCAGTTCCATTTCTTTAGGAGCTCTGCTCGCTCAGATTCAGGAGAGCAGGTGGTGAAGGAAGAAGAGCACTGATGGGGTTAAACCTGCCAAGGGAGAAGAAATCTAGTGAAGTCGTTCCCCGTCCTGCCAATTTCCAGTGCTTGCTCTGCCTCTGACTTGTTCTATGACTGTACGTAAGTCAGAGGGACCAGCATTTGGAGAAGTGGCCTCTGATTTATTTATTTATTTATTTATTTTGGTCTGCTTCCATTTTTGGCATCCCCAGCTTGGAGGTTTCACAGGTATTGCTCAGCACCCTCGTAGGGCTCTTGTGAGGATTAATTAATTCATGTTTGTAAAGTGCAAATGGAGACCGTGTTGAGACTCTGAAAATCTGACCCCAATCAACCTACCCATGGACCATACAGACAGTCACTGACAGACGTGGAAATACAGCCCAAGAGCTCATAGCTTAGCCTAGGCCAGCAACCTTCAACCCTATTCCACCTGGCAGTTAAAAACCATCCATGTTTTTTTGCCACAACCCACCCAACCACACAATCCTTTGCAGCCAGGAAGGGGAAGAGTATCTTTGGATACAGATCTGGTTAACCTAGTGAGGAGGGCTTTAAACTAGGTTTGATGGGGGCAGGAGACAAAAGCCCACAGGTAAGTCAAAAACACGGAGACCTGGGAGGAGGGTCGGAATCTGCGGGGAGTATGAGCCATTAGAGCAGGGACAAGGGAGAGACAAGAGGGAACAGAGAGGGGAAATCAAATCAGTATCTTAGAAGTCTGAACACTAATGCAAGAAGTATGGGAAATCAACAGGAAGAACTAGAAATGTGAGTAAATAAACACAACTATGACATAGTTGGCATCACAGAGACTTGGTGGGATAATACGCATGACTGGAATATTGATATAGAAGGGTACAGCTTGCTCAGGAAGGACAGGAAAGGGGAAAAGGAGGAGGTGTTGCCTTGTGTATCCAAGATGTCTTGGACTGAGGCTGAGATGGAAATAGGAGACAGACTTGTTGACTTATCTCTGGGTGAGGATAAAAGGGGTTTAAAAACAAGGGTGATGTCACGGTAGGGATCTACTGCAGACCACCTAACCGGGGTGAGGCGATTTTTAAACAGCTACCAAAATCATCCAAAGCACAGGACTTTGTGGTGATGGGGGAGTTCAACCGCCCGGACAGCTGTTGGGAAAATAACACAGCAAGGCACAGCTTATCCAACAAGTTCTTGGAACGTACAGGAGACAAGGTTTTATTTCAGAAAGTGGAAAAAGCGATGAGGGGAGATGCTGTTCTAGATTTGATTTTGACAAACAGGGAGGAACTTGTGGAGAATTTGAAAGCTGAAGGCAGTTTGGGTGAACGTGATCATGAAATGGCAGAGTTCATGATTCTAAGGAATGGTAGGAAGGAAAACAGCACAATAAAGACAATGGATTTCAAGAAGGAAGACTTAGCAAACTCAGGAAGTTGGTTGGTAAGATCCCTATGGAAAGCAAGTCTAAGGGGAAAAACAGTTCAAGTGAATTTGGAGCTTTTCAAAGACCCTATTAAGGGCACAAGGGCAAACTATCCCACTGTGTAGGAAAGATAGGAAGTATGCCAAGAGACCACCCTGGCTTACCTAGGAAATCTTCAGTGACCTGAAACTCAAAAAAAGAGTGTTACATAAAGTGAAAACTAGGACAAATTACAAAAGGATGAATATAAACAAATAACACAAGTATGTAGGGACAAAATTAGAAAGGCCAAGGCACAAAATGAGATTAAACTAGCTAGTGACATAAAAGGTAACAACAAAACTTTCCACACATACATTAGAACCAAGAGGAAGACCAAGGCCCTTTATTCAATGAGGCGGGAAAGACAATAACAGAAAATGGCAGAAGAGCTAAATGACGTTTTTGTTTCATTTTTCACCAAAAAGTTTAGTAACGATTAGACGTCTAACATAGGGAATACCAGTGAAAATGAGGTAGGTTCAGAGGCTAAAACAGGGAAAGAACAAGTTAAAAATTACTTAGGCAAGTTAGATGTCTTCAAGTGGCAAAGGCCTGATGAAATACCTCCTAGAATACTCAAGATGCAGACTGAGGAGACCACTGAGCCATTAGCCATTATCTTTGAAAACTCATGGAAGACAGGAGAGATTATAGAGGACTGGAAGATGACAAATATAGTGCCCATCTATAAAAAGGGGAATTACAGACCAGTCAACTTAATTTCAGTACCCGGAAAGATAAAGGAGCAAAGAACCAAGCAATCAATTTGCAAATATCTAGAAGATAATAAGGTGATAGCAGTCAGCATGGATTTGTCAAGAGCCAATTGTGTCAAGTCAACCTAATGGCTTTCTTTGACAGGGTAACAAGCCTTGTGGATAGGGGGGAAGAGGTAGATGTGGTATATCTTGACTTCAGTAAGGCTTTTGATACCGTCTTGCATGACCTTCTCATAAAAAAACTAGATAAATACAGCGTAGATGGAGCTACTATAAGGTGGGTACATAACTGGTTGCAAAATCATTCCCAAAGAGTAGTTATCAGTGGTTCACAGTCAAGCTGGAAGGACATATCCAGTAGGGTCCTGAAGGGGTCAGTCCTGGATCCAGTTCTGTTCAATAACTTCATCAATGATTTAGATAATGGCATAGAGAGTATACTTATAAAATTTGCAGATGATACCAATCTAGGAAGGGTTGTAAGTGGAGGATAGGATTAAAATTAAAAATGATCTGGACAAACTGGAGAAATGGCCTGAAGTAAACAGGATGAAATTCAATCAGAACAAATGCAAAGTACTCCACTTAAGAAGGAACAATCAATTGCACACATACAAAATGGGAAATGACTGCCTAGGAATGAGTACTGTGGAAAAGGATCAGGGGGTCATAGTGGCTCACAAGCTACATATGAGTCAACAGTGTAACACTGTTGCAAAAAAAGCAAACATCATTCTGGGATGTATTAGCAGGAGAGTTGTAAGCAAGACCAAAAAGTAATTCTTCCTCTCTAGTCTGCGCTGATAAGGCCTGAACTGGAGTATCGTGTCCTGTTCTGGGTGCCACGTTTCAGGAAAGATGTGGACAAACTGGAGAAAGTCCAGAATTTGTTAGTCTCTAAGGTGCCACAAGTACTCCTTTTCTTTTTGCGGATACAGACTAACACGGCTGCTACTCTGAAACCTAACAAAAATTATTGAAGTTCTAGAAAACATGATCTATGAGGAAAGACTGAAAGAACTGGGTTTGTTTAGTCTGGAGAAGAGAAGACTGAGAGGGGACATGATAACAGTTCTCAAGTACATAAAAGGAGAAGGGAGAAAAATTATTCTTGTTAATTTCTGAGGATAGGACAAGAACCAATGGTCTTAAATTGCAGCAAGGGAGGTTTAGGTTGGATATTAGGAAAAGTTTCCTGTCAGGGTAGTTAAACACTGGAACAAACTGCCTAGGGAGGTTGTGGAATCTCCATCATTGGCAGTTTTTAAGAGCAAGTTAGACAAATACCTGTCAGGAATGGTCTCGTTATTGCGTAGTCCTGCCTTGAGTGCAGGGGACAGGACTAGATGACCTCTTGAGGTCCCTTCTGTTCTTACACTTCTGTGATTCTATGAGACTGTAGCCAGGGAAAAAAACAAACCAAAACACATGGCTGATCCTGGGTGCTAGGATTTGTGGAGCTAGCACTGGGTGTGAGGAGGTTACCCAGGCTTGGTGAGGGCCAAAGGAGAATTGGTCATACGGTCTCACAGTATATGAAAGCTCTGTGTATGTGCTAATTATCTGTATTGCTGCACCACTTCTTATCTTCTCTCCTACCTTGTATTTTAAATCCTGTCTGAGCTGTCCGGACCTGCCTTTACTCCTCAAATATCAGCAACTGCTGAGGGAAATAATAGACACTGTAAATAATAATGGAAAGGCTGTTCTGTAACCCTGCAAAGAGTATAATGCAAATTGTGTGTGTGTTTATAAGGAATAGGGTGGGTAGAGGTGGGCAGGCGTGGATTACAGTACACACATGGTATGTTTCTTTACTGGTGAAGACTGCCGTAGTCAATTGTCCAGGGACATATTCCCTACAGTAGACATTTCTAAAATACATAATCTTCTATTAGCAAACTTTCCACAAACAAGCTCATTAAGGCAGCAAAGTTTAAAAACACAGCAGCAACCTTTATAAACACAGCAGCAACCCAGCCTGGGCAACAACAGGCTGACGGTAATATACCGGTATGAGACAAAAGAAAGGAGGCACAAATTCTCCTCTCTTATGCACTAGTGTCAACAGGAATAAGCCCACTGACTTCCAGTGAGTTACTAGGGATTTACTCAGAGACTCATAGACTTTAAGGCCAGAAGGGACCATCATGCTCATCTAGTTTGACCTCCTGCACATCATAAGCCACAAAACCTCACCCACCCACTCCGGTAACTGGCCCATAACTTT